GCATATTGGTTCAATGAATGAAATATTTATTTATTAAATCTACAAACAACAATAGATCTGTAAGAAGAGAAAGAAATTCTTACTAATTATGTTACTAAGTATTCTTAACTGGTATTTAGAATAAAGAAAAAATTGTCTCCCATTATGCTATATCTCTTATGATAATTGTATGCAATATAATGGAGTGTTTTTCTGTTTTAAAGGTACTTTTTTGTCATCTCTTAACAATCATGATGATCTTTTCTCCCCTAATTAAATTTTGGCTATAAACAGAGAGAGGCACCTTAATAAATAGGATTGATGTAAATGTGCCCAAACAAATCTGGTCTAGTGACTGATTAGAGTGTCCAAATCAGTCATACTCTCAGATTCTGGTAAAGACTTAACTGTTACTTTATCACAGACTCAACACCCAGGATTTTACTATCAACAAGCAGCAAACAATGCCATTGTCAGGAGACAGCTTTGCCAGGGCTTGTGTCATGTAAGTAAAATTATTATCATGCCAGAGGATTGCTGAGAAAGATCTGAAGGAACAGTGACAGACACAAACTCAAAGGAGCAATATTTTTCTTATTGAAAATGACCATTTTTTTTATCATTAGTTGAAACTTACCAATATAAATTTGAAGACTAGAACTGTCTGACTTTGGTAATTTTGAAGTACAAATTATTTCTGAAGAACTTTTCCTGGAGGGCCTTACCCAGATAAATTGGGCTACATACTTGTGCACATGAGTGGACGTAGCTACAATGGAGGTCAAAGCTTGTTCAGACAGTTATCAAAAACATATCCTATATCCCAACATATTACAAAAGGCCATCTTTTGCCAATTCAGCTGTGTACACAGAACTCCCCCCTCTAACAATGTTGGTAAAGCCTAAGTTTAGGCACTAAACCTGGTAACATTTACAAAGCACACAAAATTTGAAATTGTTTGGGGGAGGGGTAGGGAAGGTTTTGGTATAAGTAATATTGCCTTAGACTTTAAACCACCCTTGTAGTGTGGGATAATGTTGAATGTAAACTAGTGGCAAGAAAGGGTCATAGATTCCCTTCAAAGTATACCTAACCAAAAACCAATTAACTACCACTCAAAAGGGTCATTTGTTTTCTGCATGTAATTAACTTTTATTGTTCATTGAGTCTGATGAGTTACTTTTTAGTTAATACATTGGAATCTGTTATTAATTCGTCTCTAGACTACCACTCCAATTACTATGAATCCCTTAGAAAATGCTGGAAATCTCGACTTCTATGGTCAGAGACCTTGGAGACAAGGTTTTCAAGGTAACTGCAAATATATAATTTTTTCCTCTTGCAGTGTTTTTTAGAGTAAGTACAAAAGGTGTTGAGGCACTCAGTAAGTTTCCTTTGCAAACCATGTACTGGTTGAAAAGCTCAGTGTTAGAATTTTGTTCCATCAGATGAGAGAAAACTTTTCGTGTATTAAAAACACTCTGTCGGAAAAAAATTTTAAAACTTTTTTTTCAAGCTTATTTGAAACTTGATCTGTTGAGATGCAATACTTTCCTTTAATTTGTAGAACTGCTGGGTTCATTTGACTTAATATATTTGTAGGAACAGAACCACCAGATGCAGGAATAGAGAAGGCTGGAATTATAGCCTTGCAGTCCCAAGAAATCCAAGTGGACCATTCTGTAAGTGCACTGTATTGTTTGGCAGACTTTCATTTCAAGAAAATTAAGATCAGATAAATGTCAGGGAGAAATCATGGTGACAAATTAAGTTTAAATGCAAGGTTAATATGACTGTAAATTTTTGGTTGCGCACAATTGCATCAATGAGCTTTCTAGCCAAACCAAAGCAATTATGAATTTGAAATCCCAATTGCCAGTATTACATAATACCTTGTTAGCAAATACTCTGACCATCAATCTCTTTATTTATGTTAACCTACTTTGTATATTTGGTTGAGGTACTTAGAATATTGGCTCCTTTTTTTT